AAAATCAAGAAAAATCTTAAATCAGTTCATAAAAATTCTACAAAATTCTTACTTGCTCACGTAAACACAATTCACATCGGGCATCTATATACGCCGTTGCCGTATTTTTTCTCTGTAGGAAATCAAGAAAACGGAAATTTTCGTGCATTTGCCAAAGTGGTGCTGTGCCGTTCCCAAATAAGTAGTTGTATACTACAAACCTTAGAAGTATAAACGTAAATTTCCAGCTCTCTACAAGCTTTAGTTCTCGAGAAATGTCGAATACAGTCTTCCCTAGTCATGTGGTCAAAGCTAAAATTCAATTTTCTCGAGAACTAAAGCTTGTAGAGAGCTGGAAATTTACGTTTGTACTTTTACAGGTTAGTATTAGGTTGACACCTAAGTAATGCAACTTTTTATACTTTTGTCTATTTGAACGTAGCGCATTCATTTTTTGGCAATGTAAGGAATATGATGTAAGCTTCTAGTGCACACATTTTTGCCGAATTTTACCATCTTATGTGAGGATTACGGTAGGCTTACGGTACTATGGGAAAATTTTTAGAATGCATCAGATTTTGCTGAAAATTGGCCTATAGGGCTTATTTGACATGCTGATCACAAAAATGAGATCCGTTTCGCATGAAAAGGCCTCGCACGTAAGATCAAAAGATGAATTTTATTTTAGCGACAAATGAATATGATATTCGTGTTTGCCGCATAGGATTACCCTATATTGCAAAGTTATAGCGAATTCTGACTTTTTGCAGCTTAGTTATTGACAAATTGCCTTGAAAACTTGACGCATTTGACTTGTCCAACTTCTCAAAGGCGCCCCACCTTAATTTGTGTTCAAATTTCATTTCTTTTTCACTGATTCCAATGTGCCAACTTCCAGCTACATGCTGCCTATAATTGCTTTTTCATATATTTGAATAAGGATCCGTAGGGCTTCATGTTTGCCAAAAAATCGTGAAACCTCGATTTTCAGCAGTTTCCAAAAAATGCTTAGATTTTTTGTACTACGTTATCAAAAATCAAACGGTTTGAGCAGCCTTGCAGCTTACATCACGATCTACATGACGCCACAAAATGAGATTGCTACATAAAATAGGAAAAAAGTTACGGGAAAAGTTGCAAAACTTATGTGCCAACCTAACAGTATACAACTACTTATGTGGGAACGGCACAGCACCACTTTGGCAAATGCACGAAAATTTCCGTTTTCTTGATTTCCAACAGAGAAAAAAATACGGCAACGGCGTATATAGATGCCCGACGTGAATTGTGTTTATGTGAGCAAGTTAGAATTTTTGAAATTTTTGTAGGATTTTTATGAACTGAGTTAAGATTTTTCTCAATTTTTCGGGCAGTTGAAACTTTTTAGTTTTTGAATCGAAACTCGAAGTGGATCAGAGCTTTTGCTAAAGCAAGGTCGCCATCTTGTAGAGATTGCTTTGTTCTATCGAATGATACCTTGCGAGCTACTTAGAAATGAGAAATCTATGACTTATTGCCGTTGGAATTCAAAACCTGCATTAATTTCCGGACAACCCAATATCAAGGTCTTTTCTAGACCATAATTGGAAGGCCACTCCAAAAACATCAAATGTATGATGTTATGTACATACCAGTGCGTCACCTCTGCTTCGCAGAGGTTCTACTATCTATGTGCCTTACTCATTCTCGTAAAATCGTGGCACTGGAACTCACCGCGCTATGCCGACTACCACGAATAAAATGTAAACAACCACTCATTTAGAAAGTCTTTTCACGTGAGATCGGTGATTTCGCGTGGATGAAACTTTTCGCGGGAAAACAAACGCAAATTCGAATAGGTTTTTGGATTTGTCATGACTTGGTATTCGCCATAAAGGTAATGATAACTGTGAGCTACATCTCTGTGCGAAAATCTTCTCAAAAGCTTAGCTAGAACCTTGGCAAATTGACCATTTACACAACCAATTCGTTTCGGCGCCGTTATCGTTATGTAGTACTTTCGACCACTCTTCTGGCTAAACTCCATCGCTTGCACATTTGCTTACCAAACTCATCCACGATTCTGCAAAAAGTGGTGATACGGACCGAATTTTGCGGTACAGAAGCCAGGTGGACCTGTTGGCGCGCAAATTTTGAGGGATCCACTCAACAAATCTACTCGTGCTTTTGCATGTTGGTCTTTCATAAAGGTAGCATGCGCCATGCAACATTTGGGTTCAAGACATTAGCTGGAACACGCTCCACGAGTTTCGTAACAGACACACACACACACAAAGTCACATAAACAACCTTAGCCCGTTATTATAAGTCATGATTTCTTCATAGGGCCTTCTGCACGTTCTGTCTAATACTCAAAAAGTACTGCTACTACCATCTCACTTTCATTCGTTCCAATTTCGAACGTTGATCAGATGTAAGCTTTGAAACGCAAGCCTAATTTCACATGTTTGCAAATAAACCGTGTAAGAGATAGTGAATGACTGAATAGAGCTTTTCAAAAGCATCTCACAAGGAAACGATCCCAACCAGGCTCAAGCAAGGGGTGTGGCCCAGGATCGCTGGTTACGACCCTCCCCCCTTGAATTATATACCTAGGATAGCATTACCTGAAGGCCCTGTCAAACATAATGGGCAACATATCTATAATGAGCATCTCAATTAACCCCTGTGGACAAAGTTTGAGCGAATTATGAAGATTCAAGATACTAGGCTACGTAAGTGAAATGGTCATTTTCTGACATGATCAACTTTGTTTCAAAGGTGAATTAGCTGTCCATTTTTGCACTCAAGACAAAGCACTACTCCTTCTTTGTCCATCTCAGAAATCCCGCTTCAAAAGCCCTCCAAACTGTGAAATTAGAGGTTATCCAAAAGCACGTTTTTCCCATTTTTCGCTTTTGATGGCTGTGCTTTCACCAATTATTACTCAGAGTAAAGAAAACGAATTAGGTTCAGATCACTCCTGTGAAAACTAGGAAATCTAGGCTATCGATCCATGTAAATACGGTTTGCTTAAATTCCATGTACGACTTTCGGTGAATCTTGGCATATTCAGAGTATCCTTTGTAAATGTCTAAGCCTTCACCAAGATTGGTATAACATTTATTAGGCTAACGTTTCGGCCAACTCGCCTTCGTCAGAGACTTAAACTTGAGGTCGAGACCACCCACCACAGAGTGACATGGAATCATGGTTGCATGTCACTCGGTGGTGGGTGGTCTCGACTTCAAGTTTAAGGCTCTGACGAAGGCGAGTTGGCCGAAACGTTAGCCTAATAAATGTTTTACCAATCTTGGTGAAGGCTTAGACATTTTACAAAGGTTTGCTTAAATGTTTTTATGGCATAGTTAATGGGGTGTGGCACACCCCTTAAAAGCTGTGGCTGCCATCGTATTTCATCGCAAATATGGAAGGTAGATTTGTAATCAGCTCGAGCAGACGCATCTAATCATACGCGGTTCCCCGTTCGCCACGTTAATTTGGGATCGTTCCCTTGTCAGTGATAGAACACAACATAACAGTATCAAGGATAGTGGAGGATCTTGCATGACAAAACAACTTTCCGTTAATTTGAAATTTTATTGCCGTAGTTACACATGTTTGCCGAATGGAAGGACGGAAAGAAACATTTTGTATCCAAACCACTCCGTACTCTAACTTTATCTGAATTAAGATGTTCTTGGAGACAGAAGCGATGAAGATCAAAGAAACAAACTGTCGGCCGGCTAAGTCTTGCATATGTGTATTTGAGATTTGAGATTTATCCCATCAGGAAGTTCAGTTTTATCCCATCAGGAAGTTCAAGCTTAGACCCTCTCTTCATAAGCTATATTTTCCCGTTTGTAGGCCGACTGGTCTGATGCTGAGTTTGATAGACTTGTGGTGCCGAGATTGGGGGACGGATTATGTGTGAACAAAACCATTGTTGAAATGCTAACAATTTGCAGGATGGCGGTATTCCAGCAGGCTATTTATTCACGCCCAAATCTTGTCGTCCATACTCGGAACGGCAAGAACAGCACGTTAACACGTTTCGGACCGGTGCTGCACTTGGTGCAGCACGCTGCTTCGAAGGATCTTTCTGACGTTTACAGGAGGGTTTCTTTTAGTCCAAAGTTGTTAAGTCAAAGGTCTGAGCTCCTACTTCTCAAATGACTCTGTAGAGCTGTGCCGCTCATATTTGTTTAGGAGATATGAGCACAAATCGAACAACAGTTGCAACGAAGTGCGGCAACGCGAACGACGCGTGCGACGTCGCAGCTTCTCTTTGCTTCAATATCAAAGAGAAAAACCGTAGTTTTAATACTGATGTGTACAGTGTACAACATAGATACTTTTGAATACTATTAGGAAGTGAGTCCTTGTTCCTATCTTTCAGGAAAGCGCAGAAGTCCTTCTCAAGTGGCAAAATTCAAACGCTTCGAATTCACTCAGAACTTTGGGTATGGAGCTTACATGACATGCTGATTACAGATGTAACCCACAGGCTGCGAAATAAGGTCCCCTTGTAGGCTAACGGCTGAAAGTATACTGTTGTTCGCCGCGCGCGATTTCGCGGTCCGAAACGTGTTAAATATCAAATCTACTAGCGTACAGGGCTTATCAATTGCGGTTTCGGGTGCATCAGCATATCCACTAGTCCCGCCAGTGGATATGCTGATGCACCCGATACCGCAATTAAGTGGCTAAGAACAACACACCGCAATTGATAAGTGGCAAAAAAGCAAGTGGCTAAGAACAATACCATTCTTCTACAAACACGCTCTTCAATCATTGTCAGTCGAGTAAAGTCCCGTCTTTCCCACGTTGGCGGCGGGAAAGTGATTAGAGAACATGTTCGGAAAGAGATGCAGAATCGCGGCCGCGCGTGAGTGGAGATGCTGGTGCCCCGACACTGCCGTTAAGAGCCTTTATATGGTATGTAGTAATTATTTCAACTTAAAGATGTAGAATTTAGAAAATGTAATGCATTCATTCGCATATAAGCTGTTCTTTACTGTTACAACACCCAAAAAAGCGAGTGGCTAAAAACAATACCATTACAATTTAAGAGGCGATTGAACAGATACAAAACTGTTTTGATGGAGAAATTAAACTGCCGGAATCTTTACGCAATGGCGAGCATTCACAAAGGTTTTAATTTGACAAAACTATTAGAAGAAATGATAACAACATAGTTTTTGTCTTTCTGAGTATAAACCTAAAAATAGTTTTCAAATTGTTCTCCCTTATGAAATAATGGAGAACCTAAGTTTTTGTCAAAGTCGCAAAAGCTGTTGTTTCGGCTATCGTATCACTGCCGCTACTTGTATGGCTTGTTGCAAACCGTTCATTCTAAACATAGGAAATCAAGCCTGTCAATGGAAATGAATTAAAATATCTAGAGGCATTACCTCTCCACCACCAGCATAAGCTCTTCTACTGAGAACATTCACTGAGATTGATGCTCCAGGCTCTACATTAAATGTGATACTAGGAGCTGCTTTGGGCTTAGTAACATGTCTTTCTCCAGCAGCTCCAGATCTTAAAGTCTCTCTGGGAATATCAATTCCCTTTATGCCTTTGGGAGCGATTTCATCTTTCTGATAATACAAATCAAAACGCCTATTTACAAACTGCATAAGTTGATTTTCACCTCATCATCGTCAGCAACTCCAGCTTTTATAGTTTCTTTAGGAATATTAATCCCCACAGGTCCTTTTGTTCTAGAAACAACTTCATCTTCCTGGAACTTACAGTTCGCGCAACTTCTAGTTAAATTAGTAGTAAGTACCTCATGTGCTCCAGCCTTTATAGTCTGCTTAGGAATTTCAACTCCTTTTATTTGTGTATTATCGGGAACAGCTTCATCTTCCTCGGAAGAGTGCTATAAATACACAGTAATGATAACTATTGATTGGTACTGGTAACTATAACTACTCAATCAAATCCACCTCAGTTTTGGAAAACTTTACTTCTTTTTTCTTGAGCACTACGTTCAGTGTTTGTCCTCGACTTCCCTGCAAAACTGTTCCAAGGTACTATAAGCAAAGTCTAATAAGAGAAGGATACTCGGTATCCGTGGCCTCGTGAGATGAGATGTATACTATCACGCTTGCAACGCTGATTCGAATCTGACTTCCTTTTCTGCTAGTCATTTATTTGAGTAGCTATGAGGTTTTTGCGGTAAGTTTGTCCGCCCGAGGGAAAATTGGTGGGAACGCCAACGCTTCCTGTGCTCTGGTGTAGTAATGCGCTAGCCTCACGTCATAATGCAGGTGTAGGTTCAAATCCTTTGCGGTTTTTGGCTGCGTTGCCTAATCAAGCTTCTTTCCGAAAATTGGGCATTCTTAAGATAAAATCGTGCCCCTACTCTTCGAAAATATGAAAAGGAGGATCATGCACAAGATGACGCATGACTTGCACTTCTGATCCGCACATCGATACTAACAAGCAGTATCATCAACCGGCTACCTCTAATCGCATGTTTTGTCCGAAAATGGTGACAAAAATGGTTGTGAAGAGGAACTAGATTGAAGCAATACAAATTGAAAAAAGCAAAAGGATTCAAACCTACAGTTACCTAATCTCGTGAGTTATCGCACTAACTACCCCACACTGCACCAGCAGTATGGCCTTTCGCTCGCGGTTCCCGTGGGCAATAGAGGACTATATGTCGCTGGACGTCGGAGGGGCCCGTGCGTGCGTGGCTTCTTGCAAAAACGCACCTACGTGCATGTGCAAGGGTGCGCATTTGTTGCAGAAACCGCGGGGTCGCCCTCTTTCGAGAAATCCTCGACCCCCCGTAGGCGGCCCAACTTGGGGCGAAAAGTCCTCATAACTTTTTTTCATAGAAATGATTAGCAGAAATGGAAGACAGATTTAGAGTCAGGCGATCCAAGACGTGCGTAATGGTATACAAACCATCTCAAAAGGCCATGAACACCGAGTATCCTTCTCTTGTGAGTTACGGACACCTGTGCGCTTCGAAGTGGTATGTTTCGTAATGACGTGCTTCGACGACTTCCGGGCTCTTTCTCGCGCTCCGATTGTGAAAGAGAAGTTGATCGTTGCGACGGTCGAGTTTCACTTCTTCTGCTTCTTCTGCTTCTTATGCTTCCCGTTCTTCCTGATGAAAGACTTTTAACAGATCTTAACGTTTGCGAACGCTCGCTTCGAGTTTCGCTTATAGCGCCTTCGCTTCGAGCACCCGATTCGATATCTTGTGTCTAAATATTTTTGTCATTATTTAGATTACAACTTGTCAGTCATATACCGCTACGGATGCAGACGTGCAAATAACACGAATTACATATAGAACAAGCATAATCGTCCCGACTACGAAAAATATCTGAGCAAATTTCCTACATTTTCAATCTTGTTCAAGATTGCTAGTACTTACCACTGCTATCAAGCATGCTGCATATAGAAAGTCACTCCAGTCGCTGTTTTGCATTCCAACAAAGTACAGCTATAGGATAGAACGTGCAGTTGAGTAAGTACACTGGTAAGTAGCAAACAGCAATTTTAACTGAGGCACATCTAGTACTTTCTATCCTTTTGAGGGTAAACAGTCAAGCAGTCTAACATTGCCAACATCACAACACTTGAAGCGGTCTTGAAATCTCAACAGCCATTCCCAGATAAAATTTGGAAAATTAGCAATGACACAACACCCGCAAACATGGAACACACTGAAGCTCGTATGTCCAACATCTATGATTTTTCTGCGGCGTTAAAAGTTGGTTCTCATACAGTTTTGCAATATATCGTCACCAACGCATAAATTCACACTCCAAGGGGCTACGATAATTTGGTTTTTTGGTATTCCTGATTACATGCACGCTGACTTTACTCAGCTATTGTATTAGGTTGGAAACTAAGTTTTGCAACTCAAGCAATAACTTTCCTCTCACTCAACATGGCGCACTCAAATTTTGCCATAGCGTTGACTATGACGTAAGCTGCAAGCATAGCTGCTGTTCTACCAAATTCTGACGTCGCAGTGAGGGTTACGGTAGGTGCATGTATGAAGGGAAAAATTCAAAGTTTGACGGATTTGGCTGAAACTTGGAATAGGGGTGCTATCCAGCATGCTAATCACGAAAACGATAGTGAAATTACGTAATAAGGGCATTTTTTTAGGATTACTGTAGGTGTACGATATATGCACGATATAGGGTCTCACCCTAAACGAGGAAAAAGGCGTTGATCCAACAAATGAATGTGATATTCGCGTTCGGCAGGTCAAATAACCTTACTATTCAAAGTCTCGGCGGAATTTGAGCTTCGGACCCTTTAGTAGTTGACGGTCGTCCCCAGCAGCTCTTGTGTACATCGACTCGTTCGACTTTATGAGGACGCCAAATCTCGAAATGCCCCTAAATTTTGTTTCCTTCTTACTAGGCCAAAGGAGTCAACCTCCAGCAATAATTTATTGACGAATCCGGATCACTGTGCATGGTCTAGGCTGCCAAAGGCTTCATTCTAGCTTGAAACCCCAAAAATTCTCAAATTTCTTTAGTTTTCGAAAAACGCCTGAAACTTCTATTTTATGTTCAAAATTTTGACAATTTGTGCTCACTTGTAGCCCACACTGCCTTCTACATAATGCCAAAGTTTGAGTGCGCCATATCCAAAGAGAGTGAGTTTATGAAACAAGTTGCAAAACTTAGTTTCCAGCCTAATAAAAGAAACAAGCTTGTTTCAAGTTTACGGAGTTGATTGCCTCCATTACATTGTAGAATAAGTTTAGCTGAATTTCTTCAAGGACTCGAGCAGAATTCATGCGATTTCATTGTCGCGACTCATCGCGACAAGACAAGTGTTACGAGTTTATTGCATGCCAATCTTCTTGTATTTCGATTGTGATAGTTAGTCACGGTTAGTCGGTCGGAAAACTATCACAACTGAAATGCAAGAAGATTGGCCTGCAATGATATTGTCACAGTTGTCTTGTCGCGATGAACGCGACGATGAAATCGCTTGAACTCTGCCTGAGGCTTAAGCCTCCGCAACCACTACAAAACCTAGAAGAAAATGTAAATTTGAGCTTTAAATTTACATGCATCTTTAAACTAACTAAACTTGGCCAAACCTATCAGAATTCACAAGGGGTAGAGGACTATATGTCAGAATGTAGGAAGGTCCCGCGCGGACTTCTTGCAAAAACGCATTGCGTATAAAGGTTGGTATTTGTCGCAGATGTCCGCGGGGATCGCCCCATTTTGGCAACATATAGTCCTCTACTTATTCAAAAACAGTGGGCGGTTACGTTTTTTGGACTTGGCTAACCTTATTCAAACTGGCTTGGCGGCTGGAAGGGCTGCGGCGCTTTGTGGTCTAGCTCGGTCGAGCCTGCAACGCAGTCTGCGTCTCGCCTGCGAGCGTGCTCTCTGACCATTACTTAGCCTAGTTAGGTCACGAAGCCCCGCCTTCCAGCGCCAAGCCAGCTGAATCAAAGGTATATGGAGTGAAGACGTAAACAAACATGGCTGGATGCTAAAGCTAAAGGATTACTTGATAACATTCACTTTACCCAAGGCAAACCTTCCAACAGTGCGCGGAACAAATATGAATAAAAGAAGCATCTAAGCAGAACAATGGGAATTAGCTGACATTGAGAGTAATATGCCAATGCGCAAGAGAAAATAAAGGATGCTTAACTTTCGCGAATCTTGATCTGGAATCGGGTTGAATAGGTGATAAGTAGCTTTACAATTAATTGACTTTTGAACATCTGCCTTGATGCCCTTTTTTTAAGACAATCAAGCCACCAGTATTTCCACTAGAGAAGTTACCTTACTTTTCATTTACACCTGAAGAATTGGTCTGTAAAAATTATTTTCCTTGTTTTGAAAATTTCTTCCTCAATCCAGTGATTTATTAGGTCGTTCCGAAAGTTCTTTCCGTTTTTTCAACATATCATAAAAACACGTGGAATAAAGATAGGGAAACATTTCAGGCACTATCCGACGCAGCTTTTCTTCCTTTTTCCAAAGTCATACTACTGTACCGCTTGCTATTGTGGTCAATGAGATAATGGCCGAAATTTTGGACCTATGGTTTTTACCATGTCCAACTTTGGCAATTTTTCACTATCTTCTTTCTTAACTTTTGGAGAAGCTATGATAGCAGTCAGATAGAGTGAACAAAGTGTAGTGCAATGGAATTTTTTGGCAATTTTGGCCGGCTTCTCATTATTTTTTTAGGTAACTTTTTCAGAAGTCTTCACTTTTTCGAAGTCACAAAACACACAAACACTCTGAACATCAACAAAACTTCGGTTTTCGAAACTTTCAAAAGTCGTTTATGATTGTACACTATTTTTACAAAGTAACTGAGCGTTTACCGCTTCAAAATATAAGATTTTGCATTGCACGGATACATCATGAGGCGGGTTCAAAATCAAGTTTATGGAAATTTTATCGCTAAAGACCCCACAAACTAATAAGAGAAAGATCGGAAAGAGGAGAAAAAGCTGCATCGAATAACACCTTAGTTGTGCGCCGTTTTATGTTCAGTGGCTTTTGGCATCCCCAAAAGTGGGATTTGATAGCATCAGAAAAATAATTCTAATGTTTCGAGGCTAGCTATAGATGCCGAAAAATTGCATAAAATTGCACTTTGTTTACTTTATCCGACTGCTATCAAAGCTTTTCCAAAAGTCAAAAAAGAAGATAGTGAAAAATTGCCAAAGCTGGACATGGTAAAAACCATGGGTTCGAAATTTCGGCCATTATCTCACTGACACAGGAGCAAGCAGCACAGGAATACGACATTTAAAAAGAGGAAGAAAAGCTGCGTCGGATAGTGTCTGAAATGTTTCCCTATCTTCATTCCACGTGTTTTTGTGATAAGTTGAAAATAGGAAAGAACTTTCGGAACGACCTTATATAACGAAGAAATGAAAGATTAAAGCATAGATTTAACAAAGCATGCAAGTTTTGCACAAAATTTTCTTTTTACGTTTTGATTGCTTTTCGTACAGAATCCGCGAAAAGCCCATAGTGGACATCTGAAATAACACATCCGCTTTTTTTGCCACTATAAAAGCGAGTTTTTTCAAAAAGGAACTTACTTGCTGCTATAATCATAGCATCCTCCGCATTTATTGCAAGTTTTCGCACAAGCACGATGCCTTAGTCCTTTGTATTGGGGATTGCTGCATAGGGCTGTCCGTGTATGGTACGCGGCGGCCTTAAATTCAATACTATCTGTCCAATCCTCTCAGTTTTTGTTCATAAAATCAACATAGGCTCAGATGTACTTCATGTATTAGCCCTGCCCTTTTGGCAAACTCCGCCCACTTTTATGCCTCTCACAAGGATCCTTTTGTCCACAAAAAGCATGGATGAGGCTGTAGATGAACGCAAAGGCTTCAAGCAACTTCTAGCCAGGCCCCGCCCACCGTCAGGCAAGCTCCGTCCCCTGAGTGGCAAGCTGCGCCCACTTTTCAAAAGTGGCGGAAATCGCATAAATTCTTGAAATTTGGGCAACTTCCGACATTTTTGGTCGAGTGGGCGGAGCTTGCCAAAGGGGGCGGGGCTTGCACATTTTGTACTTTGTGCATGGATGCATGCATACATACATGGGCCACGCGTAGGGATGCATGGAAACGTCTCGTCCACAGGGACAGACCAAAAAAATGGCTCGTCGTCAACGTGTTAAAATCGTGACGACGGGTTTGACCGCGGTCTTTGCGCACACAGGAGCATAAAATGCCCATATCAAAAGGTATTACCTTAAAATTCAGCTCAGTCACACCGGTCTCTAAATAGTATTATATGTAAGCAGGAAAACCGTTCGATTAGAGATATAAACAAGAAAATGCGGTTGCTGGAAGTGCGTCCGTGTCGCGTGCGGTCGCGCCATTGTCACGATTTTTCGAATGCCCTATAGATATATTTCATTTTTTTATTCGAAGGTATAGGAGTTTTCGAAAAAAAGGTATAGTGTCTTTTCTAAACTTGATTTAATTTTGTTTATTATTTGCACGCATTAAGGGTTACTTTTAGCAAACTTTCGCAGAAACGTATGGAAATTGACAGAAATGGCTCGGAGTGGACGTGCAATGTACGTGTTGTGTACAATCGTACGAAGGCTGGGAAGCTGTTTACGGTCAAAACTTCCTCCTTTTCTAGGGAATCACATTCAACTACTTTTTTTAGAAATGGCTTTGCAAGAGCTGCACATATAATAATTTCCCAAATCTAATTATTTGAATGTTTGAATCTCAATGAAAAACAGCTGTGCTAGCGCATTGAAGCCACGCCCCGTCTTGGCAAAGTTTCGAAATTTTGTCAAATTATGCGAAAGGTAAGCAAGTTTGCAAAAACTTCCTTTGGCTTCCTATCCAAAAAAATGCCGCGGCAGGTATCGGCTGAAAAACGGGTCCCGATCGTCATTTGTCAAAAGTCCTTCGTCTGGGAACATAAGCCAAAGCAAATTTACTGACAATTGCAACTACAGTGTGCTTGAACTAACAAGGGAAGCGTCATTAGTCGAAGTGGCCTTTC